TACTCTGTCCTGAGTATAATAAAATATAATATAAAGAAATGTGCATGCATTGTGCAACTAAAAACAGATAAAAATAGTAGTAGCAGTGAAACTGGCTATATTGTACAAGGAATGTGAGGCACACTGTAACGTATTGTCCACAGTATACACACACAAACACACATGTACACGCCTCCTCTTAAGCACATGGATGTCACAGAGATTTGCGGTGCTATCTCTCCCTAAAATAAACACTCGAAACGGGTTTTCATTGTGCGCCGACCTGTTGCCTGGAAGACGCGATTGAGGTGTTGTGTCCAAATACTGGCTTATGATTTGTAGACCTGTTTAAATGTGAAGGATGTTGTCCTCAGAAATGATCCAACCCAAGCTTTTTAGCAGTTTTTGGTAATAGCCCACTTAATAATCACGACGCATATGTTTGGCTCGATAGTGTAACCTCCACTTGAATGAAGAGATTAGCTAAAAATCCACCTAAATTTGACATCTGTAGCTAGAGGCATGTTGACACACCCCAACACACACACACACACACACACACACACACACATGCACACATATTTGGCAGTGATGCAGGGAAAAGTGATCAGGTCAGGGGTATTGAATGGCTTGTGCAAGAATCTCCCAAGAGTGATATGGATGATAGATTTCACAATGCAAGACTTTTACAGTATTATTGTGAATACAGAGAGAAAAATATTTTCAAAAAAAAAAAAGGAAGTGAAAGAGTGTCCAAATTAATACAGGATGCTTCATCATGCGCAGTTAATGTCATATCTTTTGGGCACTGTAAACATCTGATTTTATGACCATTGTAATTTAGCGCTGGACAGCTGCAGGACTGCTGGGCTTATTTGTGCATTATTGTGCCGTAAAAAGCACAGCTCTGATTCGTTTTCTGGACTTAAGTTAAACCCAGAGCTCCCGGTAGCTTACCAGATTTAAGTCTTGTGGTTGAAATAGCAACAGAAGTCTTGGATTCCAAGGAAAATAAAGAGCTGGGCATAAAAATGACCAGCGAGTGTCTTTTGGAAGTTTGCCCCTCTCCCCACCCATGTCTCCAGCCTCTGTCCTGAGTTTGCTTCCATTATAAACAATGTCTTTCCCATGTAGCTGTGGGGAAACATTGAAGAAAAAAAAGGAAAAGAGGGGAAAAAAACAAAATATTTGAGGCTTAATAAATGGGCATAAAGATATGAAGTGAAGAGGGATACAAACTTGCTCGCTGGCTGAGAGTTATAAGATGTATTTGATCTCACTGTGAGACCAAATGCAGAGAGAAGACAGGTTTAGTAAGGTTAGTAAATTAAATTAATAATGTCAGAAAGTATGTAAAAACAAATGCACTCTGTATTTTAATGCACTGTTTATTTTTTCTTACCTACTGACAATTCTATTGGTTGAATAGCTCATACCACTGCCATAAAAACAGTATGTTTATGTTGTTGGTGCAATATTTCCTGCTTGGTCAAAAAAAAAGTGCATGCTTTAATATATCGAGATGAAAAATATTGTGGTACTTAACTGATCTTGTTTGTTAATCTTTTCTGTTGTACTTTTGTTTTTCTTTTTTGCCATGTGACTCAAAGCAGTTTTTCCAAAGCAACAACTTGGAGGAGCAAAGCAGAGCAAGAGAGCTAACAGGGAGGAGCCGCTGGGAGTTTAGGGTAGAGCTGTGTTTATTCTCTGCTCTGGGGGAGCAAGAAAGTGTCATGTTGAGGGGGTGGGGGGTGAGGGTGCACACGCAGTATAAAGCTGGATGAGGCTCACTGCAAATGGACACAGACCCACAGGACACTCCTCCTCCTCTTTCTCCTCTAGTGTGTGCACAGAGAGCAACATTCAACCATGTGCTTCTCCAGTTTAGGGGAGGAAGCACATTTTGCTTACATTTGGTCAGCTCTTGCATAATGCTCCCTTTTCCAGCTGTGTTCATTCTATAATACAGACCTCTTTTTCCTTAGCTTCACCTTCCTCCCTCGCTGTGCAGGTGAGGTGTTTGATGTGCTATTCTGAGGGACTGGGAGCGAAATGGAAGTTGAGGAAGAGGGCAGAGGCTGTGGGTCACGCCAACCCCAGTCCGATATCAACAATGTACCCTCGGCTCAACTATTGTCTAATGTGAGAAATGGCCAACAGCTGAGACGCTTAACAAGCTCCGCTGAAGCTTCCCTTAAACAATGCCGGCTGGAAGCCGCTATCGCACTTAATCCTTTTTCTTTGGCTGTCACCTAATGTGTCACATTTCCTTTATCCCGAGAGGAAAAAAAAGCACTGATGGATATGTTTGGTTGTTATACACACATCGAGACAGATGTTCATTGCACAAATACAGTATGATGATGTAAATGTGTAAAATACACTGTTGCTGTTCTGATGTTGTTGCAATGTAACATACAGTATACATTTGTTGAAAAAAAAGAGATGGTTGTCACAGACACATTGTACTTTGTGGATGCAAAATCTTTCATGCTTTCCATGCAGATACAGACCCTGTTTCTTAATTGTCTTCTTATATAAATATGGGCCAATACTGCTGTGACAGCTGTAGCCAATGTTGTATGTTCCTAAAGCACAGGTTTTAGTTTCAAAATAATTCATATATTAAAATATAGTGTGACAGTGCAGATACTGTATGCAGAAGATTGTAATGTTTTATATTAACCTTCATAAAATATTAAAGTGAGTTTTTACTTTTCTAATAAAGTGGCACATCAGAAAGTGTTTGTTTTGCCTGTAGTTTCATTGCTTTGTGACAGCTTTCACACTACACCTGGTTCCTGCTCTGCAGCGGCCTCTCATTTGAAAGTGCAGCTTACAAGAAAATGCTTTTTTGTGTGAGAAATTAAGCAATACAGCAGGAACAGCTGGGAGGTGTACTGTGTCGTTCAATAACAGGAGCTATGCTAAATGAAGAAAGGTTGCTGAAATCTTTTTTTTTTCTTTCCGACCACACTCAAAAGGCATTTTATAAAAAGGAAGCAGACACATGGACGACATATAAAAATAGAGGAATCGGTGAAATATGACCTGAAACCTCTCGTGCAATGCAGTGCAAGTCAAGCTTACGCAGATTTGAATTAATCACCATAAATCTGTACCTTGCTTCTTTCTGCAAATGACCTTATTTACTGCAGTGAGTTGCAGTGTTTCATGCTACTGTGTCCGGACGGTGTTAGTTTTCCAAAATGCTAACTTTTGAATTAGCATACATTTCCCCATTAATGCAGGCCAAGTCACTTATAAGGAGAAAGCAGTGTATGCATTTTTTCTATAATAACTCGCCTACAGTGAGAAGTTCAGGTGTAATAGTTTGCAACTCGCTAAAGTGCTATTTGAATTGCAAAATTATAAATGCGCAGTTAGCCGCTGAGGCCTGCACGCTGTTTTTCCTGTACTCTCTCGACCTCGCCTCCCTCGCAGACCGGCTCAGCGTCGACAGACACCGGCCGGTAAACTGAGAACACGCCCCTCTCTCTCTTCCACCCACAGTACTTAGCTTCGAAAAAAATGTTATTGACAGAGTGAAACTAGCCAATCACCTGCAGCTTTGCGGTGGACGCGTGCCAGAATGTAATGTTTATATATGCAGAGCACCAATAGGAGTGGAGCAGAGGGGGCGTGGCAGCCGTTTGGAGGAAAGAGGCAAAACAATCTTTTATCCTCCTGACCGGGCGGCTTTTTGGGGCAGCGGCGGCGGCAGTGGTAGAAAACTTTACATGTAGGCTAGGATATAAGTAAAGACACAGACAGTTCCCATCAACTTGCGACAATCCTAATAAATGTATCTGACTCCAGCAATTTGCACTAAAATTTCTAGAAAGCTGGTTTTCTTTCTCCTGCTCGCCTTGTCTGAATATGGAGTCCAAATATATTGTGGAGAAGTCGTCGGTTGGGACAGGAGCTGGCGGTGCGGACTTTAACTGTCGGACCGGCCGCTCGGTGCTCCGCGACACCCGGGTCCCCTCGGTGGAAAAAACCGGTTCCATGTCGGCGTACACAAACGGGGCCGTGCCGTACAAAAACGTAATGGACGGCGGCTCGGCGGCGGAGATTAAAAGCGAGAGGACCCCTCTAAAAGGGAACGGGCTGTCTCTGGGTGGTCGGCTGTTGCACGACGTGGAAAAAGTAAGTGCAGTTGAGATGTTTTACGCGTGTGCGCACGACTCCATTAGCCGGTAAAGTCCCTTCATATACCCGAGTTACCGCTCAAGATAATATCGCCCACGTAATGTTAGCGTGTCTGCAAGCTGTGTGACTTCAAAGTTTTGACATTTTACGCCATTTTCATGTGCTGTTATTACGTTTTAACGGTTGCGACTGTGAGGCTTATACGTCACTACTGTGTCGTTATTTTTAAATAACTTTTAAGCGCCCGTTATTTCAATTCCTGCCCGTTCCTATCATTATTAACTCCATCGTACTGTAACCGCTTTTAATGGCGGCTCACTCTTTGCAAAGTTTACAGAAAAGGGGGCAGGGACGTCAAACTACAAGCCCAACCCCCCTCCCCCATAACTTAAGGGTGAAGCTACAGTTTGGGCTTCCTGGCGACATGGGAAGGCCCGACTATAACTACACATACGCCACGAACTTAACAGTAAAGACACGTGATATATTGTTGTTGTTGTTGTTGTTGTTGTTTGCGTCGGCCTTGTACTTGCATTGTGTGTGCCTGTATTTAATTTGTGAGCCTTTATGCAGACAGCAAATAAATCTCATAATAAATATGCCAGTTACTCACGATATTAAAACCACGACATCAACTTATCAAAATAATCCCCTCACAATGTAACACTGCTGGGAAATACTGGGTCCTGCCATTCATATGAATGCGGCTCTGACACTTGTTGCCGGCTGGAGCATTTTTGCAGACCAAGCACACCCCGTAACAGCATGGGCCCTCCCCGGCTGCAGCAGCCTCTCTTTAGCAGGATAGTGCACCCTGCTACCAAATTCCCAAGAT